CATGAATCTGATTGTTTTCTTGGCAGTCCATGGTACATTCAGTACTCTTCTCCAGCACCGCAGCTCAAAGGCATCAATTCTCCTTCTGTCCTCCCTAGTCATTGTCCAGCTCTCTGATGCATAACAAGTTATTGCATAGACCATGGCCTGTATCAGGCGCACCTTCGCCTCCAAAGAGACACCGTTGCTCTTGAGTACTTTAGAGAGGTCCCTAACAGAAGACTTTCCCATTGCAATACGTTTTTTTATTTACTGGCTGCTGGTGCCAAGAGTGTTGACTGTGGAGCCGAGCACACTGAAACTGTGAACAATCTCATTCTCTTCGCCATCCATCCTGATGCTACCAATTGGTGCATTGGTGAGAATCTTTGTCTTCTTGACATACAATAGATTTTCTTCATGTAACTGGCTTGTGCACTATTAGGGCTGACAGGTCCCAAATCTGTTGTTCAGGTGGCAGGCTGGAGGTCTCTGCTGCTGGATTAAGAGCTTTTGGATATTGGTGAGTTTAAAATCTGCAGGTCAAGTTGGTGGACCAGGGACTTTCACATCTCTAAAGTGAATTATGACATGGTATGGGGTTGGGAAAGAGAACAAACATTTGCAGAACATCCATTACTGGAGGTGGGCTACACCCTCAAAGAGGTTCCCTTTTCAACTGTTGGATCTAATGCCTCAGATCACATCACTGATGGTATCTTCTTGTTAATTGCCACAGAGTCTACTATGACTCCAAACAACCCTGCAATCAATTACTTGAACCCTTCCCTGTCCTGTGTCATCTCATCATCTCTGATACTCAACTCCCTTGCTGCAGTCACTGTGGTGTCAATGTGTTTCACTGGGGTCTTCCTCTCTTTCATGGACTCACCTCGTTCGAAGGATAGTGTCCTTCTTCAAAGAGTATGCACTCCTTACAGTATGTCCAAAGTACGTGAGATGACATTTGAGTGTGTAGATCACAAAAACTGTGGCTAACCTAGAGGAGAATGGTAATCCCAGAACACTTAATAGTGTGCATGTGAAACCTATAGTTGGCCCAGGTGGCAGTCATCAGAATAGAGCATGGAAACACTGCATGGTTCAGAATTAGGAAAGGAGAACAGACTCTTTCAATTTCTCTCCCTCCCTCCCCCATGAAATTATACAACCACATGATTAACCCCCCCTCCCCCTGCACAGCCTCACCCCTCTGCTTCCAGCCTCTCCCACCCCTCATGGACCTTATACTCGTTCTACAATATTGGTTTTATACAATATTTGTCCTTGTGGGATTGAGTTAGTTCACTCAGCATAATACTCTCCAGTCCCTCCCAAGTTAGGTAATAATTTACAAAGTTATTGCTCCTGTGTGCTGCATAGTATTCCATTGTGCGAATGTACCATAATTTCTCAATCCATTCATTTGTGGTTGGACATTTGGGCTGTTTCCATGTTCTTGTGATGGTGAATAATGCTGCTATGAACATTGGTGTGCAACTCTCCATTTGTGCCTCAATTCTAATTTCTCAGGGTATATTCCAAGTAGTGGAATAGCTGAGCCATATGGAATTTCTATGCTCAGTTTTTTGAGGAAATGCCAAACTGCTTTCCAGAGTGGTTGTACCTTTTTAGAATCCAACCAACAGTGTATTAAGAGTTTCTTTCTTGCCACATCCTCGCCAGGATTTATTACTTACTGCCCTGTTAAACTTTGCCACTGTTCCTGGAGTAAGATGGTACCCCACTGTGGTTTTGATTTGCATCTCTCTTATTGCCAGTGATTTGGAGCATTTCTTCATGTGTCTGTTGTATTTGAATTTTATAAATAAACTAGTATAAAATAAAAAAAAACAGAGAAGTAGATATAGAAGCTAGAATAGGAAATAGTGGAATGTTAATCTTTACTTTTTATTAATGATTTTTTTTGCTGTGAGTTGCTTGTTCTACCTAGCTGAAGCCATTTTGTAATTCTCTGAAGCCATTTTGTAATTCTCTAAGAACATGTTTGGACATGTTGCCCCTCCCTGGGAGGATAGGTTTCGGTTTACTGGGAACGCCCTGCTAAGTTTCTGTTTACCAGATAACTTTCAGCTTACTGGAAACGACATGTTATTCTCCCCCATTGCGTACATCTCCTCCCCCATTTTGCTTCTGTATATAAGCTGTGAGTGCTTTCAGTAAAATGAAGACTTGATCGGAAATTCTACTTGTTTTCCTGCTTTTGTGCCTCCTGTCCCTCCCCCCCCTTCTCGTTCTTCCCCTCCTAAGGTCACCGTTGAAGATCCCCGTGGGCCGGGGCAATTTTTAATGCAACATCAAATGGATTTGTCTTGGAGAGGATTAAACCAAGCTACTCCTTGGAGGCAAGGATTCTGGGGCTTCGTCTGACATACTTTGGACATGTTGCGAGGAGGGACGGGTCCTTGGAGAGGGACATCATGCTTGGGAGGGTTGAGGGACAACGCAGGAGGGGAAGACCCTCTATGAGATGGATTGATTCGGTGACTGGGGTAATAGGGATGGGTGTGTCAGCGGCGGTGCGGTTGGCGCAGGGTAGAGCAGGGTTTAGGGCTGTTGTGCATAGGGTCGCTATGAGTCGTAAACGACTCGACGGCACATAACAACAACAACAAACAACAACAATATATTTTTTATAACATATTCTTTCCATTTAATTTTTTTTCATTAGTTAATTGTTACACATTTTCCTCCCCACCCACCCCTCCTCCCCCTAGTTCATTTTTCTTTTTGAAAAGAAAAAAAATTCTTTCACTGTGATACAATCCTCCTTCCAAGTCCACAGTCCACTTTACTAAGCATGTCTTTTTCTGTAATCTTATCAAGAAAATAATACCTAATCCTCTATGGAATGTTAATCTTATGCCATTGTTTCCAGTACTTCCTAATCCACTGAAATATCTTTTCTTGGTAAATTATACCATCATCCCCTTAAAAAAAAAGAATTAGGAAAGGAGTGTGTCAGGAATGGTCCTGTCTCCATACCTTTTCAATCTGTATGCTGAAAAGACCACTCAGGAAGTTGGACTTTATGAAGAGGAGAGTAGCATCAGCATTAGAAGAAGACTCATCAACAACCTGCATTATGCAAATGATGAAAACTTGCTTGCTAAAATTGAGGAGGACCTGAAGCATTTGCTACAGAAGGTCAAGGACTGTAGTCTTCAATATAGATTGAAGCTCAACGTCAAGAAGACAGAGTCTCACCACTGGGCAAATTGGCAGTACCATGATGGATGGAGAAGAGATTGAGATTGTTAACAATGGCAGCTTGCTTGGTTCCACAATCAACACTCTTCGTACCAACAGTCAAGAAATCAAAATATGATTGCACTGGGAAAGTCTGCTGTCAGGGGCTTCTTCAAAGTGCTAAAGAGCAATGATGTCAGTCTATGATCCAGGCCATGGTCTTTGCAATTACTTGCTATGCATCAGAGAGCTGGACAATGACTAAGGATAGCAGAAGAAGAATTCAGGGTCTTTCTCTCCTGTGCTGTCCCTCCACCCTTCCAAGCATGATGTCCTCCTTCAAGGATGAGTCTCTCCTGCCACAAACTCAAAGAGTATATTAGATGGCGCTTCAAAATCCTTGCCTCCAAGGAGAAACTTGATTTCACTTTCTTCAAGACAGACCTGTTTGTTCTTTCAGTGATCCACAGTATGTTCAATACTGTTCTCCAGCACCACAACTCAAAGGCATGGATTCTTCTTCTTTCATCGATATTCATTATCCAGCTCTCATGTGCACAGCAAGCAATTGAGAAGATCATAACCTTGATCAGAGGTACTTTAGTCTCCAGATTGACATTGTTGCTCTTCAGCACTCTGGAGAGGTTCTTGACAGATTTTTCCCAATGCAACTCATGTTTTGACTTCTTTACTGCTGGTGCCAGAATGTTGATTGTGGATCCGAGCAAGATGACTTCCTTAACAATCTCATTTTCTCTATCATGATGCTTCCTATGGGCCTGGTGGTA